TCTAAACAAACAAGATCCTACATTTCCCATAATGCAACATGAGAGTGTCTTTCATTATGGTGAGTTCACATCAAATGGGGTGGATGGTAGAGATGGGAAAGATTCCCATGTTAACGACACGTGTTTTCGTGATCTGACGACTGAAGACGGTTGTATGGTTATAGAATTTGTTGCGTTTTAAATGGTTATAATACTTTGCAATGACAAAATTACAATATATCCATTAAATGAAGGTCAAATTACATTGAACGGACTTAAGGCATTCGTGTCTCATCCGTGTCTCATCCATGTATTAAGCTCCGTTTCGGATATATCATCTTTAAAAAAAAAATTATAATTACGACTTGATTGTCGACATGACGTAGTGACAGTTCCAAAACTCTTATAATATCTTACAATATTACAGACACTCTGATAAGACATGAATGCAGTATTACCTCCTGCCTCCCTGGTTAAAACCCCACATTTTTCAAGCCTCACACCCCCACAGTGTAACACAAGCTCTCTTGTGTATTGTACTTTCCAAGCCTGAGCTGAGAGACAGGTGAGGTCACCTGGGTATTTTTTCATCAAAAGGCTCCTCCAGAGCCTCGGAAAACATGGAAAACTGTTTTCACAGCATCAGTAGTGGCCCCTCGTGACTAGTAAACTCACACACATGTAAAATTGATGGACTACCTCTTTAATTTAGGGTCGGCTTCAGAGATCATTATCTGGTGGTATCTGGTGCGGTTATCTGAAAACAGCACACACCCTGCAGTCAATCAGAAGTATGTACACCACTTTCTTGGCTTTCAGAAAAATGGCTACAATTCAAAACTTCAAAATAAGAAACCACTTTTCTTCTCCCTGTTTGACTTTAAAATGATCTGCTTCTCCCAGTTTCTGCTCTAAAAAGGAGGAAGAACCCAGCGATTACAGACGGTAGAACAAATGGACACCTGCAAAGTTTCACCTTCGAAATTAGCACCAGTGTGAGTGTCATTTAATCCCTTTTCATCTTGGATTCTTTTTTATTTTTCTTTCCAGCCACTGAGTCATGATTCCCCAGTTTCTTGTGAGCACGGTGCTTCGTACATATGATATAAATGCTTCTTCTAAGCAGAGCAAGCTCCTCGCCCTTTCTCCTCATGGGCGCCGTCATGCTCAGCGTGTGATTGGCCGTGTCGGGCACCTCATCAGGGCTCAGTGTTCCTGGTGCTAGGCCAGCTCAGTGTGCTATTGATTAGGCCTTTGGCAACCCAGGCAGATTTATTCTCTTATTAGGGGGCTCCTAATGCCTGATCAGGACAGATTAAAGGTCTGCCACTGCCTCCAGCTACACTATCATTTAGACAATTTCATTAGGACTGGATGGCTATATCGACATAATTAGCCTAAGGACTGAGCACTGGAATTGTACAGCAGGCAGAGACCAATACTGATTTTTTAGCAAAGATGAAAAAAGCCTAAAATATGTTATTGACCTGTGTAATATAAGATGATTGATAAAGCAGCACGGAATATGTTTTCATTTCAAACAAAGCAGGATGATTTCCCTCCTCTCAGCCACAATTATATCCTCTCAGCCTGGATTATAAATTAGATTTTCTAACCAGTAAGATCAATAAAAAACTGGCTCTCACATTTGACTGATTGCAAAGCATCTTTTTTTTTTTTTTTTAATTTTTCATCCATCATTCTTGCATTGACTGACAGCATGCAACTGTAGTAGTGTTTTGTTTATCTGTGGGTTTCTCACTCACTTATTTTTTATTCTCTTGCTACTCAACATATTTTCACGTTATCATTTCATCATTGGTGCTATACTAAGCCCTAATTATGATCACTCATTCTTTCCTGCAGGCTAGTCATTCCCTCTGTGGGCTACACAGGACAAAGCAGAAACAGATTTTAACACCCAGGTGAGCAGTAAAGTCTGTCTAATCCTCTTCACTTCACTTAGGGAGGCTGAACATCTAAGGACGCGGTTGAATGTACTTGTTTTGCGTCTTTTATCTTTTGACATCAGGACCAAATCTCCCAGGAATGGGTTTTGCTCATACTCTGAGCCAGTGAGACAAACCGTACCCAGAGGTGATCTGATTGATTCCACATCGATGTGGGCTCGGTCCGGACACCTTTAGACCCCTGATCCCATAGGAGCATATCGAGCACAAAGCAAACGGAACGTCTCTCTCTCTCTGTCTCTCACACACACACACACACACACACACACACAGAAACCCCCGATCACGCCGAGGCACATTACCTACTGTGGTTGCCTGGCAACCAAACAGAGACACACACATACACAACATAATAGTTCATTTATATCCAGCTGTGTCAGCAATGGATAGCCAAAACTGAAAAGCCATATTCCTAAAGCTTTAGTTTTTTGAAGAGAAGAAAAACCCTGAAATAAAAAAACTGATTCTACACGACTCCACGTCAACAAGCAAATATTGATGTGGTCCTTTAAATTCATTCTCTGCTTTTTTCTGATACTGGCACATTTTAAATAACTCGGTTTTATTTATGCTTTCAGAAGATTAAATAACATGCCTCTTTTTTATATCCTATAAAGCTAAATGCTAAGCACCACTGCTGTTTGGAAATTCATTGGCTTAGACAAAAACACACTTAGAGCTTCTTGCATTGCACTAGGTGTATCACATGAAACTGGAAGCAGCTGGTGCGTCTTTCTGCATGAAGATAGTGGGATTCAAGTGTTTCGCTCCAAGCAGCCTCTGCCTCTGTGTGATCTCAGTCTTACATTTAAGGAACGCCCGCTTTCATCTCCCAGCACACATCAGTCCTTCGTCTGTGTAGGCATTTCAGGGGGAAAATTCAATCCAATCACAGCTCCAAACACGAATGTCTCACTGACAGCATGTGCCGAGTGAAAGAAAAAGAAAAAGATGTCCTAACAAGTGAAAGATAAGGAGAAATGTCTTCATTTTAAAACACCAATTTTCTGATTCTAATATTTATTAATGAAGGCGTCCAAAGGAAAATTGGTAATATCGCCCTGGTTACCTTCTTCGCTCTCTTCGCCTCGACTGCTCTGTTTTTCTCATCACCTTGTGGTCACCGCCTCTCTTTGTTCTGTTCCTCATTCAATATCCACCTTGATTCATATGTTTATTGACTTTTTGAAATAGTCATTATTTACAGCACAAATCCAATCTGGACCTCGTTCTGCATCAAGGCGGTAAATATGTCTCTGCTCTTGAATTTAACTAAGCAAAAGGAAGCGTTTATCAGCATCAACTGAATTGGGCTGAAACGGGCGCATTTCTAACATGGCAGATTATTTTTAGTGAGAAATTTTCTGGGAGGACTGCTTTCACATTGTTATATTGCTTTAACTAAAAACATTGTGCATCATCCACCACTGGAAGTTTGTAGTGAGCTGACCAAAATTCATCACTAATGACAGAGCTTTCCAAGATTTAATATGAGGTGGTGGAAGCCCCTCTTTGTACTTTTATCCTGCATTCAGAGGTGTGAACAGACTGGAAGGGGCAAGGACTGCTTCCTCTGCCACCACTAACATATAACCAACATATACAGATGTTTCTATTATTTTGTGCACCCTACTTATTTCAATGCAGGTAGGCTAAATAATAGAGACACCTCTCTGTATAATGAAATATAGTTCAACAGCATCACAAACGACATCCTCCCAAAAACAGTTATAAAAAACTGAACAGTGTAACCTTCATGAAAGTCGGATTTCAGAGCTGTTGTATTATTACTTAGGTGCACCTATAATAAACTTGAGGTGGTTGAGTTGTTGTCAACAGGGGTGACCTGACAAGCAGACCAAGATTTCTTGTCTGAGAATCGACAATACGACGACAATAAATGCACAGTTGTTTTAGGAGAATACTCTAGGATGGAAAGATTGGTTAATAGAAGTAACAGGTAGAATGGTACAAGAGATAACCATAAAGTGGAGGAAGTGGTATGAAGAAAAAACATGAAGCATGTTATAAACATTATTATCCTCTCTCTGCCATTGGTTCATTGAGAAGGAATACCATACTGCCTTCCACACAAAGATTCAGCGCTGCCTGAGTTGAAATCCCAGCAGTAATTACTCAGTGCTATCGACCTGACTGTTGCTCTGTCATTCATGACTCCTTACTGATAATAAGAAACACAGGCCATTACATGTCTCTAAAGCCCCACTATCTGACAGCTTCCCTGCCAGGGACCCACTATTGTCCGAGCTGCTCAAAAAAAAAAAAAAAAAAAAATATATATATATATATATATATACACACACACAATTTTCAACTATAAAAGCATCTGTCTCAGAACTCTGTGGTCCACTTAGCTAATAACTGGCACTGTCAACATGTACTTATTTCTGAAACTTTGATCAAACATGAAACGTGTGTTTATTGCACCTTCCAGTTGCCATGCCAACACTCAGATGACAAGGCTTTCTGGTAAAACTGGTCAATATGATGTAGATGTTAAGACAGAAGTTTCTGAATCTATTGAACACAAAATGAAAATGTTAAAATTACCGTATCATCAACCGCACACTGTGTCTTCCACTCTGTGGCCAAAAGTATGTGGACACTCAAACATGACACTTAAATCTGAGGCCAGTCAAGTTCTTCCACATCAAATTGGGAAAACTATTTCACTTTGGACCTGGTTTTGTGTATGGGGCCATTGTCTAAACAGGAAAGTGCCTTCCCAAAAGCCACAAAGTGTGTGGACAATATATATTTAAGTGTAGTCCAGCCACAGTGTTAAAGTCAAGGACAGAAATCGAAAGGCTAAAGCAATAAATGTACATAGTGACAGTTTTTTTCACATCTTTCCCAGGCTTGTGTTACTTGTTGAATAACATATAGATGCTTTTAGGCAGATGCTCTAACTGGAAGAGGGTAGATTCCACTACAATCTCACTCAGGGCGGTCACAGATACACACAAAAGAAACCACTCTCTCACTTATGACTTCCATCTCTAGCTGACACCCAGCGGGCGAGGGACTCACCCAGTGAGGACGACCACAAAGTCCATTACATTCCAGCCGTTGCGGAGGTAGGAGCCTTTGTGAAACGCAAAGCCCAGGGCGATGATCTTAATGGCAGCCTCGAAACAGAATATTCCAATAAAGTAGGGCTCTGTGTCATCCTACAGAAAGATGGAGAGAATTGGAGAGATGATGAGAATGACGGAGGAAGATCTTTGTGAGAGATAAGAGAGTGGTTAATGAAGCGTTCAGTGAAAGAGAGGGGGGTAAGTAAAAGATAGAAAGAAAGAGGGCTCCTTTTACTTCTTGCACCAGCATGACCACACGTGAAGGAAGTGGAGCCCCCTTCTTGGGATGAAAACAGAGTAAACACAGTGAAAACAAATATTCACACACATGGCATGATCTCAAAGGCTACAGTAAACCAGTGTAGAGCTTCGCTATACTTGTCTATGAAATCATCCCTTACATGCTGAATTAATTATTAAATTATGAAATTATATCGATGAACATATTCTTCCCAACTTGTTTTGAATTTTTGATAAAAATGTATTTATTATTATTATTATTATTATTTATTATTATCATCATTATTAATTTAAAACCTGACTCACTTTTTTCTTATGAATTAACCATTGATGCCTCGACACCAATAACTAAATAGCCTGCCCTCAACACCAAAAACAAACAGTAGCCTGCAATTTCCACTTTATATAGCCGAATGTACTTGTACTACTGTAAGTTGAATTTGCTAGGATTATTTACTGCCGCTGGATCTTATCAGTTTGTCACACAGTCTTTAACGAGGTTAATGACACCCATTGTGAGTTACTGCTGCAAAAGTTAAACTTTTCACATTATGGTCTGTTTTACCTGAACAACGTAACGTTGGGTTTGAAGAAATGCTAGCAAAGTTAAACTTTGCGTTAGCAAGTATTTAGCCGGTGTTTGACTAACATACAGTTTGGTTCCTATTCATTGTAATAACCCCCGCTTCCAATTTATTATCATCCAACTCTCAGCGATGGACCAACGCACATTTGAAACCTTTGCTCCACCAGAGCTGAATCACAAACCTTAAATCTTTAGCTACAGGCAAAACAAGCTAGCAAGCAACTGAACCAAACGTGCTAATCCATTATTCAACAGTTTAAAACAAGTTGGAAAGAATATGTTCATCAATAAACCTCATAAAAACCACTACAGTTAGCAGCCAAAACATTTGAAGGATAATATAACTCACATTCCTTAGAGTTTCGGAGTTATAAATTATCCAACTTGCAGCATGTGACGTAACTTCGTGGTGCGTTCACAGCATTGCCAAAACAAACCAATAGCAGCCGATTCAAAATAATGTCGTCCATAACCTAGCCTACCATTTGAACTTCCCGATCCTGAACATAACTCTACCCGAAAATATGAGAATGTTGAAATAACTGTCCCACAACAATACAATATTTTCCAGGACATTTTGCTTTTTCTCTCGTTTTCCATGACTAGAAAACTGGTCGGTTTTGCGGGTTTTCTGGGATGCGTTGACGGCCGAAGAAATGGCAATTTGGGCCAATCAGAGGTGCAGTTGGGCAAAATACAGGGGTGCTTGAGCTGACCAGTGCAGCACCTGCGGCAACTACAAAGGCATTTGGACCTCTCTTGTGTGGCATTAGGGCAAAATTAAGCATGGAAGTAGAGGGGACTTAGTACAACCAGAAGGACACATGCTGGCCTTTTGGGTCGACCTCAAGGGACTGACCAGAAGGATTGTTGGGCCCTAGAGAGATATTAGGCCTCCTTGAGGCACTGGCCCCAACCAGAGAAGTACTTCAAGTTCAAGTTTGTGGTGTTATTGGGACAAAAAAGAAACTAAAAGGGTATATGGACCACACAAAGAGGTACTTTTTGCATATATTCGGACAAACCAGAAAACTTAGGCCATTCAAGTGCCCGCCTGGTGTGATGTTAATGTTAGTGTGAATAATGAAATTAGGGAGCACGTGGAGTGACCACAGGGACATTTGGGTTGTTCAAATGGCATTATCCCAATGGGAAAAAGACATTCTTGTTTGAAAGGGCACTTTGGCACTCAGTCCATATGCATAACACAGATGACTGGACATGATTGATCTAGGCACTCCACATTATTTCCTAAAAGTGTCAAACAATCAACAACATGTCACAGTTGAATCATTTACACTATGTGGCCCGGTTAACCCTGGGCCTTGCTGTAAGTAAGGGAGTTGGATCAAGCGCGTATGACATGACACTTTTTCTTTGCTTCCATTAATATCTGTAAAAGCCTGGGGCGATGCACAGGGCAAGAGCTGTGGATATCTCATGCCTACTCTAACCTCTCTCCCCCTCAATTTTTCTCTTTAGTTCCCAGCATACTACAACCTGACAGTCAGTGTCCCCAACCCCCAGCATCACCCAGCCTCCAACATAAATAATCATGTAAAAGCAGTGTGACAGGCCTGAGCACTATAAGAAATGTGACCTTTTCTAAAGCACTGGCTGACTACAGTCAACATCCAGTGATAATAGATATGTTGGACGAGAATTACTGTATCAAGCATGAAGGCTGTGGTGGCGAAATATTGACAGTTTGTTGTTGTTATGGAGATGCAGATAAGCTGTCCCTGGCCAATAGGAGTAGCTGTAGGACCCTGCATCCTTTAAAATAACAAGGACAGGCATTCAGTGTGGTATACAGTACATTCATTTTGGTGTGCTATAAAAGGCAAGATTCATAGACAAAACAACTGAATGTCTTATGTAATAACAGAGCTGGAGGGCTGCCTGGATAACTGTCTGTACTAACAGTGTGTTAACATCTATTATACATACATCTAAAACGCTGCTGATTTATAAATACACTTGTGGAAGACAGCTGGGGAAATCCCCAAGGCCTACGGTGCTAAAGACCTGCATTGGATCTGAAATACTCTTAGTGAATAGCTTCTATCATTGCCTCCACTTACAGTATGCCTCCCTACTCTGTTGTCAGAGCTTCATAAATAAAAGCTGATCCCTCGTTCTAATTAAAAGGCTTCTTGTTGTATTGCATCCTCAAGGTGGAGGAGGCAGGGGAGAGGATGCTTGTTTCCTCCTTTGTGTAACCACTCCAGTCACTTGCTCAGGTGCTGAATGCTACTTTGTTGTTTTCCTAGTAGTAACATCTCTGCTGCTGAATTTCTGCGCCACAGCAGCTGAGATATTTAAAACAGGAGCAGGTGGTGCGACATGAGAAGAATTAATTGACATTTTCACATCAAGCTGTTGCTCTTTGTAACACTCTCTGGATCTCTATTTTAAGACAAAGTCCCCTCAGCTGCAACACCCTCAAAAACAAGAACAGCAAAGTGCTGAAGCATGAAGCTACATGCTATTCAGGTTTTTTTTTCTTTTTTTTTTCTCCAGTACACGGAGCAGAATGTGCCACTTGACCTCCCTGTGCAACAGTCTCTTTGGTCTCTCTCTGAGACTGGTTAGCTGTGCAACGTGACTGTCAGAGCTCAAATGTTGGTTTACACCGAATGCATATGTGAGCAGCTGGGGGGGGGGGCCGGAGCAGGTGATCAAAGCTAGCCCACTGAGAGGCTCTGATGGCTTACAAGATAGGAGCTGGAGGGACAAACACAGTAAAACACACAGGGTGGCTCCCCGCATTATGAGTGAAAGGTGCTGCTGCAGTTAAGCTGTTGTAGGTCATTCCCTTCTAACTCTGAGAGGCAGGTGCTTCTGGCAAAGGGGGTGCCTGTGATTACTCTCTATATCTGTTTACTGTTGAAAGTGTCTTTATTTAAAGGAAGTGACCTCATAGAAATGGACTTACCAGGCGCTCTGACATAGGTGTCTTGTCACCGGCAGGTAGATGCTGCTCCAGGGCCAGGACGATGCAGTTGGCGATGATTGTAGCCAGGATCATGTACTCAAATGGAGTGTGAGGGTTAAGGAGCAGTTGAAAGTGAAGTTGCATTCATTTAATTTCACAGCTGAATCATTGCTGTTATTTGCTTTGGTAGTGGGGAAAAGACCTTCTACTCAATCAGGATACAAGATTTTAACAGGACAGCAATGAGTACACAACGAATTAAAGATGGGTGACAACATTAAATTGCACAGAAAAACAAATCATCCTGCTTGTTGATGAATGATAAAATGCCATCACACTAAAACATAAACATCCCATTCCACATCATGCTCTGGCTTTCTACAAATAAAGCATCCTATACATGCGCTTATGATCCTTCCAGATGGCTGACCATTTCCAACCATTATCAATGCTTGGCTCATTCTGCAGTCTATTTTTGCTGGGTCAATGTCCGCAGGTCAGGGCCTATTGAGGGCCCATGAATCGTGAGGGAGTAGGAAGCTTATGACCATTAAAGCCAAGATGTAAAAGAGTTATCCATAAGACACCCGCATGCAACCAGAATCCTATTACTTGACAGTGAATTTTGAAAGGAAATGGCTATTTTGACTTCATTTCAGCTGTGGTTTTTAGTTTCATGTGGGGTTTTTTTTTTTTTTGGGGGGGGGGGTGTTTGGTCCTGTGGAGTGGAAATTCAATTCATATCAACTCATAGAGGGATAACCATTGTCATTCGATTAAAGCTAATGCTGTTCTCACTGTCGCCCACAGAGCAGATCCACTTGTCACCTTGTGTTTGTCACACAGGTTCTACAGCTGCTTTCCAGACTTTACTACGTCACTGCAAAAAGACATTCATTTCAACGAGTCATTTGATTTACTGTTGAGTCTGAAAATCTGAAATGTTTGTTTTTCAAATCACTTGTTTCAAGATTTCAACTACACTATACTACACTACTATGGTACTGTAAAAACATGTTGAAAAGCATGTATCACTAAACTTGTTGACAATTATTTTGAGATAATCCATCATTTAAGGACTGTGTGACTGGGAATTGCTTCTATTCATCATTCTTCAACTAAAATCTGAGTCTCAATGCTCATGACCTGATATTATTTTACTTGTTTTCAGAACAAATCACAGTCAGTTTTCAGACTGTTCTTTGTATTAAATGTAATTTTTCCTCATGGGCTGTGGAAGTATTTCAAGAGAACAGACTCAGAAACAAAGTGAATAATGTCATAGACTCTGTCACTTATGTCAAGAGAGAACGCACTAAGACTTGATGAGTGACCGTGACTCGTTGAAGTGGACATGATTTTTTTTTTTTTTTTTTTTTTTTGCAGTGTTGAGAGAGCGGCGTGGAGCGGTGAGCGTGGGCGACTTCAGCACCATGGAGAGTGCTCCCAACTAAGACAACGAGGCGGTGCTGCAACCTCCGACCAACGGTCTCCTTCACCAAAATAAACTGCGTTTTTTTCTTAGCAATTAGTCAACATGACTTCACAGGTGGACATGGGGAGTGGGGGGCGGTCAGTGGCAGCAGCGACAGCTCTGACCATTACCATTTCCCCTTTTACGCACGCAGCTTTTTATTGACTTCTAGCTGCGTAAATCAATAGCGATGTTTGATAATTATTAACTACGACGCAGGGATCGCTGCTGATGCCCGGAGCTGACATTTTGACAAAAGAACTTATCTGTCTACGTGGACACCCAGAGGCTCCGTATTGAGCTGGGAATAGAAAAGGCAACACAATAGGCGGAAGTGAAGTCTTTTCACCGTCCGCACCTACTGAGAAAATATCTTTGTGTCATGTTGAATGGAGATAAGGGGCAGAGCGACAGGTGCAGGCGGCGCTGCGCGGACAGGGGTAAAGAAAAGACACCGGTCGCTGCTCCACAGGCACAAACAGCTGCTCATTCAGCAGCACGGGCGGGTTTTTACAACCTAAACCTAGAGGCAAGTGAACATAACACAGCAGCTAAACTTAACAGGCTGACAACAGGCCTACAGGCGGTGGTGTGTGTCTGCTTTTCAAACATCTGCGTGCGGCTGCCACGCAAGGACAGACAGGTTACAGGCTCCAGATGCACCTGCTCTGAGCTCAGGAAGGATATGGCCACTCTGTTATTCGCTTTGCATACTTCCTGATGAGATTGTCCTCGCGGAAGATGAAGAGGGAGCGGTTGACAGTGAAGCAGTTTTGTTTGACAGGGTTCGGGTTGTAAATGGCCATTGTCCGGGCTCTCTGGGCCATCGACTGCTTGTACATCCTCTGGCCACCCGGAGCGCCGCCACCACCCCGGGCTCCCCCTCTCCCAGCGCCCGGCGCACCTCTCCCTCCGCCGCCTGCGCCTCCTCCATAGCGGGTGGGTAGATCTTCTGCGAAGCGAGCCATTCTGGAAACGCACAGATCCAAAAGGGAAAATCCAAACTGGTGTCAGTGGAAATGGAGGGGAGGCGCATCACAACAAACACACTTCATCCAAACCACAGCTTAGCGTTAGAGAGTAGAGAGAGCGCTGCGTTTGGAAGATAAAAAATAAGGTGGCCTCATGGAAAACCATGTTCTCTGGATCCTTTCCATTCATTCATCGTCAGTGGCATTTAAAGCATTTAAGTTTTAAGCAATAAAGCACTTCAGCTGTAAAATAATCACTTCACTGAGGCTGTTGCATCCATATCAGCCAGAGTCTGAGTGGAGAGAATCAGATCAGATCAGCCTGTCGCTGAAAAAAATCCTGACAACATCGTGTCAGCGTCCAAACACCAGTTGAAACGTTCAGGATGTCAGTCAAAAAAAAAAAAAAAACGTCAGGAGCGTCAGAAAACACTGAAATCCTTCTTTTTTTGTTTTTTTATTTTTCAGCTGAGAGCAACAGTAAAACGAGCCAATCCAACACGAGCAGTTATCCTTTGATTTCTGTTTGATCGCTGTATGGGGGCTGAGGGCTATATAGCAAGTCCTCAGTGGAATAAGGAGGAGCGCATGTGACCAGCGCGGGCCTATCGGTGACTGGAGCGCACAGACGCGCTCCCCGTCTGTTGGCTGCTCATAAGAGACTGTAAAACTAATGAAGTTCAGGGAAGCCCTGCGGGTCAGAACACGAGCCATGGCTTAATCAATCTCTCTTTTAGCATCAACAAGGGAAAAACATGTTATTTTTTTTATACAAATCAATGAAGTTTATAAAAGTTTTAAGCGCCGATTCTCTAAAGAATCAGTCACTTTTCTCAGGAATTTACAGTGAATCAATTAATGTCAATAAAATAGTTTTTTTCATTAATGAAAAGAAGTGCAAACCTACCTTGTTGGTACAATCAACTTGCTTAGGATATAGAAAATTGATAAAATAGATAAAAAAAATGTGTAATGCTTGTGAATGTAAACCACTCTCCATATTTTCTTTATCATGTTTTTAACCCGTTTTCCTTCCTCGTTGTTTCATGTCACACAGAGCACACTGCTACATGTGCATAAAGCTAATGAAGAAATATTTAATGTTGGCTGATAAATAATAAATGTATAGTCCTTTTGTTTGCCAGAAGTCATTCACAGACAGAGAAATGTATCACGAACATTAGTACTTATCTTTGTGGTCAGTTATATATTTCAAAAAGTCTGCAGGACCTAAGTACAAACAGACGTGAACAGCGTTTTGTCTCATTTTCTCCTGAGATTTTTAAAAACAGGGTTCATGCAGATGTATGCAGATGTGCAGATGTTATGACCTTTGCTGTGACTCCTCCTCAGGCTCGGTCATCACAGTGCAGCTGCTGGAGCACACTCTCTGCCCTGAGCAGGACTCAATCACTGGAGATGATTTGAAGGGTTTTTGGGAATATTTCTCTGTGATGAACTGTTTCTCTGTGAATGTCGATTGTCTTTAAAGAAACATATGTAACTGGCTCGCTCAGTCTTCAGAGGCTCCATTTTCATTGTTTATTCTTTTCGACTTAATTTCTGTGTATGGTATTTAATTATTTACACTATTCACACTGTCAGTGTTGTTGTTACAGTGTGTGCAGTGTGTGTGTGTGTTTGTGTGTCTTTTAAAGAACTATGCTGTTGCTGTTTATGTCAGCAGTTAAACAGCCAGTTAGTAGCATCATAGAAAGGACATAAAGAAGCTGTGTTTATGGCTGCAGGGACTCACGGACCACTATGAACTTAGGCAACCCTTGGTTTAGATGAACATTCATTAACATTGGGAATGTTTTGTGTGTGGCGTTTACTGGAGAAAATGAATTTAAATGCAACATCAAAAGTTTTTACTTTGTCGCTTTGATCTAAAGCTTGTATTTCTTTGTCTTTTCTTTTTTTCCAAGTCATAATATAAAAATAGTCTGAACCAGTGTCCTTACTGCAGGGCACAGCTTGAGCTTCATCTAGTTGTGACTAACCACATGTTAATATTCAGAGATTACAAAAATATTTTGTTGGGCTATTTTGCAGATAAACAAATAGATAACAGCCAACTTCTCTGGTTATATATATGTATATATATATATATATATATATATATGTATATATATGTATATATATATATATAAAAACATGTACTTACCTTCTCAAATGTAACACATTCATTCTTTGTAGTTCACTCTTATTGGCCAGCTGCACGCCAACGAGATCATTTGTTAACAAACTCACATCTAGAGGCCATTTATAACTTGATTAAGCTCATTATTAATTCAGCATCTATAAATCATCATCATCATCTGCAGCCAAGTCATTATGGTTTAGATACAGTGGAGGAGCCATCTAGTGGTTCAGTTGATGCACTGCAGTAAGAATGAAGATAGCTGCAACACAGTGTTTAGAGTTTTCTGACAAAGAGCCACTTTATTATTTATCCAATCTTGATATTGCAGCAGCTGTTGTGGAAATAATAAAATCCCCATTGGAGAATATCCAGAGTTTTGGAGTGAGTCATGGCTTTCTCTTGTAAACAGTGTTAATAATTTTGCAAAGTGATGGCTGCCTTTATAAAAAGTTTAACATCCTACAGAAAGAGGTCGAATCACTGACTGGACAAAGTGTTTGTGCTGATTTAATTGAAATTTTATTTGGCAAAATGCATCAATAAAGCACAACATATAATGACTGTGGTTAATGAATGAATTTACCTTCCTAACGGTGACATACAAGGGCCTTTAGGTGGCTCCTGCTTTATTACTTTATCCTGGGACCCTGTCTTGAAGAAGGTTCCTGTGTCAAAATCTAATTTAGCTACCTGACCTGTATAACAAATACTCCACTATTATTTATCTTATTTTATCTTACCTTCATTATTTCACTTCTGTGCTTATTTTAAATGTTTCTAAATTCTTACATTACTGTGTTAAAGAGAGGACTTTTAATCTGCAGATGATCTGTGATGATTAATCTTATCATGCATTCCAGCGTCTGTCAATTTAAATGCAGAATTTTTATTTAGAAATGTGTGTCTCACCTGCAGGGCCATGGCACGTTGTTCAGGGTCTCATGCTTCTTGACGAGTTGACGGACACCATCCCTACTACCCGCTCTGCTCAGTCCATCAAGGTGTAAAACTGTGTCATACCTCTGCACCGTGTTGGTGTCAGCGGCTCTCCACGATGTTTCCTCCGGCTCTCCGCCGCAGATGTCAGATGTCTCCTCCTCGGGCCCCGGCTCCTCCTGTGCCTGCAGTCCGGGACGACACCTCCTGTCAGTTGACGGGGCCCAGGTATCCTCGTACTCTGCCCCCAGGGTCAGCTTCCTCCAGGAGCCAAACGTGGCTGAGCGCACCGCTGGTGGGTGAAAGCAATGAATACACACAGGTAGAAGAAATCATGACAACTGATCTGGAAAGAAAAAAAAAAAAAAAAACTATTAATAATCATTTGACTCAAAAAACATTCTGCAAAAAATGTGGTGAAACAACCTGTTTGGAGCATTAACACTCACCTTAAAGGCTTGAGAGATGGATCTGGAAAGTTTATTGGTCCTTTAGAGATTTTAGGCCATAAGGTTGTCAGATTCCCAGCAGTTACAAAACCAGACCAAACACAGTAGCCTAGACTGACTTTCTCAAGTTGCCATAATATCCCTCGATAATCACAACTCATGTTTACTGCGAGGTCCTCAACATAGATCCCCAGCCTCACAGATGTGTGTTTGAACAGTGGTCAAAAATGAAAAAACAAAACAAAACAAATATCATCCAAGAAAAACTCAAGGATTAGATCCTGAGACATAACACACATCTTTTTGTGTTGCAGAGATCAAAAACATTTCTTCTTTCGTGACCCCTGAGACTTTACTTTGACCCGTCGAGAGGAGACCCTGACCCTCAGTCTGGGAACCACTGACTGATCATACCAGTAAACCAAAGGGCCCTCTGCTACCCTGGTGTTTTTTAATACAATAAAGAGATGTAAACAGATTCAAACAAAGGTCATGAGAAGCAGCGTGAACGTACCGTAAACCACAGTGGATCGTCTCTCTGCCCATCTTGAGTTGTACGGAGTTGATCTCTTCATAACCGCTCCCCGGGGTTCCAGAGGTGCGTCCAGCTGAGCCGAGCGGTGCAGTGAAGCAGCTGTTTGACCCTCACACTCTTGATGTGTGACTGCCTCCCCTCTAAAGCATCAGGGCAGGGGCACCAAAGTTTTCTCCCACCTTGGAATGCGGAAAAGCTGCTTCCTGTGCTGCCAGTTAAGAAGCTCGTTATCAGGCCAACCATCTTCGATGCTGGAGGAGAAATTTCTCTGATTCAATTATCGACTCTGTTTTCGCTGTCCGCCCTGGTAATCAGGAAGGGAGCAATCATCAGGCAGACCTAAAAGGCCTGCAGATGCACAGTCACTCACTTCCCACTGTTTGTACTCTCCTCCCTGCAGCTACAGGGGACATTTTTGAATCCATAGGGTTTTTTGGGGTTTTTTTTGTAACTTCAACAGCTGATTTTATTCTTGTTTTCACATCTTTCTTTCTCGGTTGGGTTGAGTTGTAGAGGTAGGAATTAACTAGGTACATTCACTCAGCTTCTGGACTGAACTACACTGTGAAAATATTGTACTTTGTTGGATTGTTTGCATTTTGAGAGACGTTCCCTGCAGCTTCAGAGGGAAGTCCTGTACTTTTTACTTTCCACTTTTCAGTTTTTCCAGCAGCTGTACTTACTACTTACTTTGCAGATTAAGATTTTAAGCCTGTAGAATATTAGTATTGTTGGGGGCGGGGGGATTATTATATCATAAAATTTCAGCTTTCAGCTTTAACTGAGTTAGAGAATGTTCATTATTGCCTTATCTCCAGTTTCATCTACAACTTGGTGGGTTTTTAATATTCACATATTAAACATGTGCGCTGCAGACTTACACAGGTGTGTTTAGTTAAAGTGGCTGATTAGACCTCTGCTCAACGACGAGGTCACCTCAACATACTGATACTGACCTGTAATCGCAGGAGGAGCACAGGTGAAGTAAATCTTGTTAACGATGGTTCGGTTCCTTTAAATGTCTCAGCCAGACCTCACAGTGAGGCAGCACACGCAGAACGTCAGGCCATAGCGCAGTTAAACTGAATGCAGTTGTTTGTAGTTACACCTGAGCCTTTCCTGCTGTGACAGGCCAAAATGTCTGCTGTGAAAAAAGGCCTATAAGAATGATGAAGTGCAAGTCATCCCGCCTTAAAAGGTGCAGCTAGAGAGTGAGGGGTGATCATGTGTGTTGTGCGCAGCTCCAGCGTCTTCAGACGGGGTGTAATCAGACACATAAGTGAGAGCACCTGTGTAGGTGAATCAGGGGTCTGTAGAGCCTTTAACAATCCTGACTTGAATTTGATTGTCTTTGTCTTTTTTTTTTTAATTTCCTTTAAACAGAGCTGTGAGTCTGCCTCTGTAGAGGAAAAATAAACTGCTTGCCCTCTGGGCCGATAGTTCCCAACCTGTGGGCAGTGGCGGTATTGCAAGTGGGCCTCCAAATGATTTGCAAAAACTTAAAATAAAATGTTCTTTAAAAACATAAACAATGTTGAAAAACTCCTTTCACTGCTTTTTTTTTTTTCTCATATTAAAGCCTATCACTGTGATAAGCCGATGACACAAACTTGTTTGTATTGACTGTGGTCCAGCCCACATCTTATACTTGTTTGCTATCTCCGTCTGGTTGCATGCTAAAACATTACATCCATGGCAAAAACTGGAGTATCAACATAGATAGATAGATAGATACTTTATTTATCCCCGAGGGGAAATTCATGAAATAAAAACATGGATAGCTGGGTAGCAACAGGAAGAGTTATAAGGAAAGAGAGTAAAGAGACAGATGATGAATCGACATGTGATCTCTTCCCCCCGTCAAACAAAAAGTTCAGTCCCTAATGTTTGACCGTTACCATTAAAATAAAAAGTGCTCAGAGAAGGCATTATCTGAGCTCCATACTGTTTGGGGTCGGATGTGGGCCGCCAACAAGTTTTGAGATTTTCAAGTGGGCCATGAGTTGGAAAAGGTTGGGAACCAATGCTTTAGACAGAGGAGCCTCTGAGCGTGAAGTAGTTTGGATTGGAAACTGTCTTTCTAATCCACAGTTTTACTTGTAATGGAGTATCTTTCTAATGTGGTATTACCGCCTCCTCCGCCACTGTTTAGTCTATCAGTTTGAAATGAGCTCTTCTCTCAAACATCAAGGCACAAACGAGAAGCTTCTGAGAATCTTAACTCATTAAAGCAAATGGGAGTGTGGGACGTGTCGACCGCTCTGATGCCACAGCTGCTCAAACATTTCAGCGCCAGGCCCCGAGCCCGTCTGTCAAAGCTGAGCTGCTGCCGCTCGGCTCCTGCAGGGTCAAAGTGACTGCAGGCTTCAGTTTGAAGATATTTCAGTAATGTGTTTGTGGTTGACTCAAGATAATGAGCTAAAAAGGCAGCACCTTCCCTGGACCTGAGAAATCTCTGCAAAAAGACAGAGCAGAGGAAACACAGGATGTTTAAAATCTGCAGCAACATTTTCAGGTAACAAGAGAAACTGCAACAACTATATCAGAATAAATGTATTAGTAGTAAATTTATTGAAAAAGATACAACCAATTAGATGGATGGTTCACGGTCCAGAAGTATGTAACAGAACGTAATGGAAGTGCATTTTTATAACCTTTTTTTTTCTCAGTTATACCTTTCAAAACTTTGCACAACAGTCACTGCTTTACTAACAACATTTAAAAAGATGGGTTGGCGTCTGTCGGCAAAAATCATGAGACAAAATTAAAAACAGGCTAACTACAGTAACTACATTAGAAAAATTAAACATAAAAAAACTTAAAATGTTCTCTTATTTTACAAACTATGTTCACTTGGGTAATACAAATGAAAACAAAAGTAAAAACCTTTGTCAGCACCATGTTATTTTTTTCTTTTTTAAATTCCATTTCAACCATTTTAACTCCTCCACAGCTGTGGTGAAACATCTGACACATTAAGATCCCCATGCTTAATAAAAAAAAAAGCTCAGCCAATTTATTCAGACTAGAAACGCCTCATTTTTGAGGAATGGTACAGCATCTTTCTATCGGACAATCTATACTCATTCGAGTAGCAAATTAAAAAAAACAAAGTCCACTTTTTCACATCATGTCAGTTCATTCTTCAATTTATAATCAACCGTGGTGGCAAATGTTGGACATCCATTCAAACACTGCAACAAAGATGAAGTGACACAAAAAAGTGGCAACAAAATCCAATATTTATCAGCTAATTTTGCTGGAATGGTTCATGATAAATGACCACAGCGGTCAAACAAGTTAAACACAGCTGTATGCTGAGGTTGTCTTTGCAAAAGACAACGATTCGCTTATCCCCAACCCCTGAAACTCCTTGATCATGACTCTAAGAAAAGTCATTTAACAATGTCAATCAGTTATCTTTAAAAAAAAAAAAAAAAAAAAAAAAACAAAAGACAAAATGCACAGTTCTCCCTCCCAGTAAAGTTGTGTATGAAATGTAAAGACAGTCTCGCTGTGCTGCCCTCTGCTGTTCATGTTACACAAGGTGGAATAAAGGAGCAGTCACTTCTTCCAGGATTTGATTGTGCATCTGCTTCTGTGTGTGTGTGTGTGTGTGTGTGTGTGTGTGTGTGTGTGTGTGTGTGTGTGTGTGTGCGTGTGTGTGTGTGTGTTGTTGCTGTTGTTGTTGTTGTTGTTTTTGTTGTTGTCTATGGTCCATGGTCATTTCATAAGAAGTGGAGATACAGTACAAGTTCACTGATAAAAGTTCAAAGTTCATGGAGAATGGACACAGTCCTGTACGTGTAGCGAAGCTTAGTGTCAGGAGGAGGGTTTTATGAGGGACTGGGGGGGCTGTTGGAAGAGCTGGTGTCAGGTGACGCGCTGGGCTGCCGCTGGTCCTCCGGTGTACTGTCGGCCTGCAGCGATGCCATGGCTGCCGACGAGTACTTGCACTTCGAGGAGCCGCATTCGCAGTTGAACATCTTGCTTTTGACTTCCCAGAAGTGGTCACCATAGTTAAATCTGAGAGGGCAGGATGAGAAAGCATGTGGTTATAGAACAGCACCGTCATTTAATCAAAACCTCCCCTTTAGTGCTTAAGGAAAGATCTCAATAATTTATAGGAAATTGGTAAGTGCGTCTACAGAGTCCTCAAATTATGGATAGAGGATCTTCAGACGGATATTACAGAACAGGAATAGGAAAAGTCTTGTCTTCAAGTGCAACTATCATCTATTAATAGGAGATTTAAACTGATCCAATATAATTTGCTTATGAGGACGAACGCAACTCCTGAAAAAGTTAAAAAATTCAATCTTAATATCCCAGACAGTTGTATAAAGTGTAGAACAGAGAAAGGTGCACTATATCATTGCATGTGGAGGTGTAAATACATGAAAGACTTTTGGAAAGGAATAATTTACATAATTTCCAATGTCATCCACAAAGAAATCCCTGTACTCCCAGAAATCTATATTCTCGGTCTGATTCCAAAAACACCGTCCCTAAGAACTCATCAAAGCTAAGCTGGTTAACCTCTGCCTGTTACAAGCCAAACGTCTTGGAAAAGTGATTGCGATCCATCTTTGAACCTTTGGATTATTGAACTTTCTACTTGCATAGCGACTGAAAGGCTTACACACATGATCAAACAAAAAAGTCATATTTTCCATAAAATAAGGGATTCATTTCTCACATTTTTGGAATCAGTACCTGATATCCTAACTTCTTAAATCTGGCATTTACCAAGTGACCCTGCCCCCCCCCCCCTTTTTTTTTCCTTCTTTTGATATACTGGTATGTAGGTAGACATATATAAATGTGTTGGTATATGGTGAGAGGTTGGAAGGGAAGGAGGAAAGTTGTTTCAAGGAAGACTTGAAAGATTTCCACTCTGGAAAAGTGATGTATAATGTTTAAAATCAATTAAGATAAGTGATAATAAAAAAAATAAAAAAAACCTGCGTTCATCTTACACCCAGGGTTGAAGAAACACTTTTCTTGCAGGTTCGCTGCCACACTGAGGAAGGATGCTTCAAAAAACTCTGGGTCACAATCTGTGTCTCTGTCACCAAAAACCCACTGAATCTAACTCTCAAATATAGATTCTGATATCAGATTCAATGTATACATCACACAGGGATCCTCAACAAACATGAGACATGATGAACAAGAACAAAGAGTTGATGTCAAAGTGGCAAAAAAAAAACAAAAAAAAAAAACAACAACTGTGAAACAAACAAACTGGTCCTCACCCGAGCTCCTCTCCAGACTTGATGTTTTCGCTGGCGAAGAAGGCGATGTGTGGGAAACGAAGGTCCTGGTGCGTTGTGAACACTCGACAGGCAAACAAGTTGGGCTCGCACATGTGATTGAGGAAGCGGCTGATGTTTCCATAGAAACGGGCATCGATGCAGTACAAGTCTTGTGGCTGGGAGAGAAAATAAATGAAAGGCTCGGACTTAAAAAAAAAAAAAAAAAAAAAAAAAAGCTGTGAGGAGGAAAAATGTCCAAATAAAGGACATTTTGTTGTATAAAGAGCTAATGTTGTTGCTCGGGGTGAACTACATGTGTTGTTCATACTTTACCTTATCATCCAGACTGAACAGGTAAGCATCATTTTGCCTCATCTCTGCTTCTGCCTCTGAGATGATCTCCCCTACGTACCTGTTGAAAAGCAGATGACCCGTCAGCAGCTGCAGGCTTCAGCTCTAACTGCTGTTTACACACTTCAAGCTCTCATGAACCTTTTTTTTTTTTTTTTAACAGTTTTATTCGGAAAGACTGCAGTTCTGAGATAGGGAGCTTCAAAGATTTCACATCCCTGCTGGTAAACCTGTGATGTATTGTCACATCTTTTAAAATATTTAACCCAAAAGGTTATTTTTAATTTAATAACTAACACACACACACACACACACATTATTCAGCACTGTGAGACCATGAGTAAGTGGATGACTCAGTTTTAATTAAAAAAAAAAAAAAAAACAAGAACATTTTATTATCCGGAGCTCACTGGCTGGTAATAGCATCGTTGCTAAAAGATATTTCAATGTCAGATGATGATTATTTTAATAGTTCTGCTTTATTGTTCAGGACCATAATGGACAGACATGTAGGTGACAAAAAAACTGTTCTAGGGAGGTAGAAATGATAAGAATATGATGTGTGTGGTGAATGTAATAATAAAAAAATATAATAATAATTTATATGATATCCAACTGTATTTAAATTCAATAAAAACATGCTGTTACTGCTCTGTTTGTTGGACTTAATATAAACTTTTAGTGGCACTCTGCTTTAAGTCATCACAAACTGTAAATGTTACAACAATGAACTGTCGATTTATCAATTAAAAACTTAAAATGGAAAATAATCATCAGTGGCACACTCCAACTTTAAAAAGATAGAGCTGGTGATTTTCCATATTTTCTTACTGTCAATAAATCCCATGAAATCACAGAGCTGCCTGATACGTTTTCAGTATCAGCTCTATTGTGCCACAGAGCTCCACCGTTGTCCAGAGACTATTAAAAACACATCAGTGAGCCACGCTGTTACACTGGGTGACATGTTCCTTCATTACCATGAACACACACTGTGGTTTATTTTAAGTCAGACCCACATACACTGTCCTGCTGCTGGAAATACTCACCAACGCAGCCATTGTTTATTAAAATTGTGCTGAGAATAGTCCCCAACAAATCCATTATTTAGTCCTGTTTGAGTAAGGTTTGCTAAAAACTGCAGTGTCCAGATGTTTTGAGAAATCACTGAGAGTTATTTTGAAATGAAACTATTTATTTGTGAACTGATTTGTAAGATTTACATCTGCAGTAAGAACCAATGGGCTGGGAACAGAAGTCAGGAAGAATTGAGACACACACACTGGTCTGAATGTTGACAATAGAAAAGAATAAAAAAATAACACTTATGCTTTTAAGTTACTGTACTTTCTTTGCCAACACACACAAGTGAAGTTGAAAATAGGTCCAGCAGACTCTCAGGAGCTCGAAACAACAACATTTACTGAACAGACAGTTTCTAAAGACGACTGCCAAAGAAAACTGAAGGGTTTTTTTTTTTTGGTGTTACTCAACCTGTTTTTGAAATTACCTTAAATGTCACAATTTATTACAAAAAAAGCTGTCGGAAACAGTCACAATACATTAGCAGGATAGTGACTGACACCACGGCGAAACACCTCAGTGACATCGACAGCACCTCTGAACATGAGAAAGCAGAAACAGTAATCGTGTCTCTTGTCTGCTGCGCTCACAGTCTGAGCTGCTGCCATCTGGCAGGAGTTACAGACACTCCGTGTGTGAGAGTAGCAGGGAGAGAGTGACACAACATGTCTACTCCAGGTCGGCCCATATCTCTGAATACATTTAAAAAAAAAAAAAAAAAACACTAACAGGTCTGCAAGGATGCAAACTGCAGCTGTGTTGTGTTATGATCTAAACTGACAAGTCATTATCTTTTCCCAGGTGAATAACTGGAAACTAGGCTGAGAAATACTGAGTCATGGGACAAATGGGTTTAGAAAATGCACATTTAGTTGCAAATACTAACAGTGTTTTATTCTTAAATAGGACTTACTCGCATATAAAGGTCCCCTGCGGTATGTCCTGAAGGGCCCGGACACCCCAGCCCTTCTTACTGGTCCTGAAGAGCTGAAGCCTGGTCCTGGAAGATCCACAACAACTTAATCAAATCACCTCACACCCTTAATTATACATGACAGTTACACAGTTCTACCACCATATAAGTCATCAAAAGCAAACCGCTTTCTAAGACTGCTGCTGACGTCTGTATCTTGTTGATATTAATTTGCTGATAAAGTTTGAATACCTGAGTCCATTTTGCACGACGCGGTTCTTGCAGGTCCTCCAACAGGAGCACGCATGGTTGCACTCAAAGATGAGGGGAGGCTCCTCGCGGCAGAATTCAGGGAGAAGACGGCCGCTCTGAACATGACAAAGAAACATCTCTTTAATAGGTGTAAAGACTGCTTGACTTATTAATATTAATAAACACTATGTGGTATGTGGACCCCCTGCTCACACACTTTTGGTCTGGTGTTGTTCTTCATGGTTTGGGCTCCTCAGCCCCTTAGTTCCAATGAATTCTTACTTTGCTGAGGTGTCCACATACTTTCAGGTATTTCTTTTTGGTCCATCTGTGTAGTGATTTGTCCTCACCTTGTCGTACCAGCAGCGTAGACTGAGCTGTCCACACATGCAGATACTTGCCGAACAATCCTCTTTACAAACACAGTACTGTCAGCCATGTGGGTGACGAGAGAAAAACAACAACGGTCAATTCACACTGTCAGACGTTTACTTATTTTCTCTCAAGACATCTGGTGAACTGGTTTGAACTCACCTGTAAGTGTGTTATGTTTCTGTCGATGTTCATGGGGGAGGTGACGCAGTTCTCAGGGATGTACTTGTAGTTGTCTGGATAAGGTTCACTGTCAACAGAGTTGACACAGGGAATGGGAACTCTCTCCTGGCCCAGAGCTATATCACTGTAAAAGGAGCAGACGCACGGGTTAGGGGCTGTCAAAAGTTTTCCAAGTCCAGAAAAAAAAAAAAGACGTCCTGTCTGCAGTGTTTTGCCATTTGATAAGTCATGGATGGCTGAAACTGGTCTTCCACTGTAATCCTGTACAATTTCATTCAACCTGTGAAGGACTTTTTCCTCTGCTTGACTGAGCCTCATGTTCTTGGCGTCCCTCTCCCTCCTGTTGGCCTGCAGAGCCGCCCAGGCCTTTGAGTTGTGGCTGCAGCAGTCCGGAGGAGTTTCCCCCTCCCGGTTCTTCAGAAACACATCCGCTCCTCGAGACAGGAAGAGCCTGAGGAGACAAAGAGCGTGTTTTACTGATCGTCGCTAAGTCGGCTCTCAACAAACTTTTCAAACTGCTTCATGGTTGGCCTGATGTTCTCAGCTTCAGTTCATCAAGTAAGTCATCTAAATTGTCTTGCAAAGAGTGTTTTCTCTTGTTTCCTACTGCTGGTAACTCACGAGACACAATCCAGGCGGTTCTCTCGAGCAGCGATGTGTAGGGGAGAGTCTCCGTGGATGTTGACAACCTGCAGGTCACAGTGAGCGTTCAGGAGCAGCTCGGCGATCTCCACACTGCCAGAGAACGCCGCCCAGTGAAGGCAGATGTTTTCTTCCTAAAGAAAAAAAAAAAAGGACGCAATGCAAAACCAACAATCACATTATATTTTATTCTTCTGTGAAGCCTGTCAAACACAGGGAGGACAGACGTCTCAGCCAACCTTGTCCCTGATGCTGATGTCGGCTCCTTTGGACAGAAGCAGCTTCACCTGGTCCACGTGTTTGTACTCTGTCGCCCAGATCATGGCCGTCCACCCTCCATCATCCTGAGGGAAAATAATGATCAGCAGAGTGAAGTTAAAAGAACATAAAAAGAACAACATATTGACAATTCCCACAAAACTCTTTCGAGAAACATGAGCCTTTGAATCGTCAATGATAATTCATTTTTAGTTTGAGCCGGATACAAAGGTTCATCCGAGGAGAGAACGTGTCATTACAGCTGTGCTATCGGTCACCGACTCGCAGCAAGGTCAGCCATTTCAAACAAAAGACACATCCGATGCAGTGCAGTCGCTTCTGTGAATTCTGCACAACTTAAACAACTGTCACCACTTCACCGGCCAACAAGGTGCTCGAGACTGAGACTAAGTGGAAGAGTATTCTTTATTTCGCCAATGTGTTTCAGCACTGAGCCTTCTTCAGAGTGATTTACAGATTGTGTGAAAATTCTTGGGAGATGCAACATCCTCTGGACGCTGGCCATCCGTGTGTCCAGCTCTCATTGGATAACTGATAAGGATTCAGTCGTCTTGCTGAGTATAAACAGGCTGTGTTTTTCTTTCTGTAAATCAACCTGATGAAGGTGCTGAAACACAATGACTCTACTTGTTTTTTTTTTACTTTTTATATCGAATGTATTTGACAGAAACATACAAACCATGCAGGACACTTTTGTCTAAAAACTTTTTTGTACATCTTTACAAAGGAGACACTCTTCAGTCATCTTTGTTTCTTTCTATCTGGTCATCCAGCTGTTTCTGATCTTTGCTTGGAGCCTCGTCTTTTGATAGTGGGTAGAAAAAACTGAAAATCTGAAAACACAATGTTGCATATGAACCTGCTTCCTGGTGGAGATTTCCTGTCTACAAATGTCAGTTCTGATAAAGTTTGAACCTTTTTTGTTGAGAACAAACCTGAGATCTTTTCTCCAGTATCTCCAGTCAAAACACTTTTTAACCCAAGTTGGACTGAATGTGTTGGCAATAACGTGACAGTTAGCTTAGCTTAGCATAAACACAACAGCTAGCCTGGCTGAAAAGTCCAGCTACCAGCACCTCTAAAGTTCACTGATAACATGTTGTATCTTTTTGTTTAATCTGTACACAAAGCGAAACGTAACAATAACAAATGGTGGTTTTACAGTGAGTTTAGTGCTGGAACTATTACTACATCTCTGGGCCTGTTATTCTGGCTCTATGGCTCATCCTGCCTTTGCAAAATGATTCAGTATTTTATCTCTTCATGCTTTGACAGGTGAATCAAGAGTTCACTGACCCCTTCACATTCAGTCAGCTGTGCCGTCGTCAGACCGACAGTCAAATGTCAAGGACTGAATAATCTTGAGGGTTTAATAACAATCAGCTGTATGTTTCCAACAACCAGGACTGACACGGGCATCTGCCTATATGACATGTGATCAGCTGGAGGAGACAGTGATTCGACAGCAGCATTAAAAGCTACTAAATGACGCCTGAGCAGAACTGAGCAAACACAATAACTCGTGTAAAAAAAACCCTGTATTGAAATTTCTTTTCACATGAAATCAGTGAGAAAAAGAAACTAACCTGACAGTTTATGTTGATCAGTCCTGTGTTCAGAAGGTGCTCAACAATGTTGTAATGGCCAGACTTCGCTGCTAGGTGGAGACACGTGAACCCTTCAACATCCTGAGAGGAGGAGAGAGTTGAGTTACCGACCGTCTCTAAAGTCAAACATCTCACCAAAATATAAATAAGCATGCGGCCAGTTTGTGGTCACTTTTATTTTGGCGTAACAGGACACAGTTTGATGATTCTTAACTTCTGAGAGCTGTGACAGCTGCCAAAACAGCTGAGAGGTCAAGCTACATTCTGACTTTACTCATCAGTGTAGGTGATAGAAACCTCTCAGACCCCGGTGAAACTAAAATGCAGGTTTACCTTGTGTGAGGCGCTGGCTCCGGCCCTCAGCAGGTACAGTACCGTCTCCATGTGGTTGTTCTCACAGGCCTCCATCAGCGGTGTCCGCTGATCTTCATCACACATGTCCAAGTTTGCACCGGCCTGAAGCAGGGCACATCACGCAGGAGGGTTAGCAAAGTCTATCATTTAAAATTCTGTGAGTGATATTTTTCATTTTAAAACCAGACATTACCACAGGAGCGACTACAGGGCAGAACAGGAAGTAAAAGAGTCTTACCTGTACGAGCATGTGGCAGATGTCTTTGTGTCCTCCCTCAGCGGCTGCGTGCAGTGGTGTGCGTTTGTTCTGGGATTCCATCTTAAAGTTGGGGTCGATGCCATCCACTGGAAGGTACATGAGGAAGGAAAATATTTCATTAAAAAAAAACATTTGGATAAAACAGAAGTTCGAGGCCTGTACAATAAAGAGCCATAAGAGGAAAAGAGGTACGGAAGATTTTATGAAAAACAGGATTGCTGTGGCATTTATAAATGGCCCGGGTGGGGCTAACATACCCAACATGAGCAAGACCCTCTTGAGCTCTCCCTGTTTGGCTGAGAGATAAAGTTGCTTGGGGTGAAAGCGCAGCTTCTTGGGCCTGATCAAAACAAGCACAAGAATTTTTTTTTTTTTTTTTTTTAAAGTTCATCTCATGCGTCCAGATTTTTGTTTGTTCAGATAAATTAAATTGAACTCTTCTGGTCTTACTTCTCTGTGTCGAGAGCTACCAGGATGCTCTCTAGGGTTTCTCTGGGTGGTCCTGGAGGAACTATTGGTGAGCCTGTTGTTCCCATACTGGTCTGCAGTGTTGCAGTCCTGGACGACCCAGGAACAGCAGAGGGGTCGAATTCCTGCGCAGAACGAACAGACAGTGAGCTGTCGGCCCGGCCGCTGGCCTCAGCCCCGACGGCCAGACGGGAAGAGCTGGGAAACAAACAAACAAGAAATGACCTTCAGTTGTGCAGTGGATGAAAGATTTATCTTTAGGGCTCATTATTTCACGCTTTTAAAAAGAATGAGCTTCTTTAACCTTTTGGGAAAAAGGCTCTGTAGAGGAAACGAGTTTACCTGCCGGTGGTGGTGTCCGCTCTGCCCTCGGGGGCCCCAGGTGTGGCAGGACCGTGCGCGAGTGCGGCAGGCACAGTGGAGGTGGTGTCGGCCTTGGCGATGGTGACCTCCTTGGCCTTGCTGGCCTCCTCTCCGCAGTGGGGACAGAAACTTTGACCTTTCAGCACCGAGGCACAAGCGCGATGGAAACGGTGAGAGATGCTGACGTCTGGTTGGCACTCCATGAAGGTCCCCTTCACAATCACAAACAAAACATCTCTGTGAGCAATCACTGTCAAAACGGAACAGACCTCTGTGTTTATGTTTACTGTGAGAAGTCGGGTCAAGGCGGGGAATCAGAAAAACACCTTACACGTGCTCTCCAAAAAACCCAGTCTAAGGCGGCAGCCAAAAAGATTTCTATTATCTATTCATTTTTTGATAAATGGTTTTGTCTATATAATGAACAGTGACATCAAAAATGGATTTTATAACTATATAAAGAGAAAAATTGGAAAATCCTCAAATTTGAGAAGCTAGAACCAGAGACTATTTGGCATCATTTTGTACATCAATAATTCTTTCAAGGCTGGTTAAACACATAATTAAGTTGGTGAGTGTAGAAAAATGTTTTTGCTGTAGTAGTGGCATATGAGGAAACACGACCACACATGAACCTCTAATGATTTTATTTTATCCCAAACTTCTCAATCACACCTTTTGATCAGGGCAAAGAGAGCACTTGCTTTTTTTTATTTTCATGTATTCACTGTTGTTATAATCTCAAATATACTCTACAAATTCTCTCTTCAACACTTGATCTTCTTTCTTAGGTTTTATCAGTGAGAGGTTTTTTTTTGTATTGCACAGATTGTTTCAGTCAGATTTTAAATCCTTTAACATGTCTGCTTTTCCTATGATGATCAGAGACTGTGTGTAACATTCCCTGATCAACACACACACACAAAAAAATCTAGAATATAGAGGTAATTTATACTATAAAATTCACAGCATCACTGCACTCACTGTTCTTTTAAATCAACAAATTTATCAACCATTAACAGTTAGTTAGTTTAAGACCTCAACCTTTCTCTGTCACAGCAGCCATCTTGCCTTAAATTATTTTCTTTTCTTTGAATGTTTTAATTGTAAAGTTCATAGTGAAAGGAAAAGAGAAGTTTCCAGGTCTGAATCAATCTGTGTTTGCCCCAGAGCGTTTCATGTATATCATTCACATTAGTGTGACCTCACCCCCAGAGAAATTAACAGTGCATATGGAAAGTTTTCAGACCCTTTCAAGTTGGATTCAATTCATGTTAAAAACACCTGGTTTTGCTTTGCCATTGTGGAGTGTTGTGTGTAGATTGATGAGAAAAAAAAATGAATTGAATCCATTTTAAAATGAGTCTGAAACATAACAAAATGTGGAAAACTTGAAAGGGTCTGAAAACTTTCCGTATGCACTGTCAATACTGTGTTTGAGTGTGGAGTCATCTGTTATATAAATTGTCCCGGGGACCACCCAGTTAACTCGACAGCTCAGACCTTCCAGTGAGACCTGATCAGCCTGCAGCTGGAGGCCTGACACTGATCCAGCGACTGTACTCACAGCCCTGCAGAAGAAGCCGCAGCCGGGGCAGCACTGGTGCTTCACCATGCCGTTGCGGTGGTCCTCGCACAGAACCAGCAGCTGGACAGAATTGGAGGGACGCATCATCTCATGTTTCAGCACAGCCCCCTGGCAGCGGGTCAGCTGTCCATCAACGCTCTCCGTGGCCATGCACTTCCTGTCAGCCAGGATGAGAATCTCTCGACTCTTGGGCGTCTCCATGCGGCAGCTGCAGAGAGGAAGCTCCTGAGCCTCCTCGACCGCTGACCCTGAAACGCCTGCAGAGAAACCAAGGCTGACTGTCAGTTAAAGTTGAACATAATACTGGTTGAATTTAGTTTTGGCTCACAAGTTGGCTGGAAGTTGAGAAAGCCTGAGAAACACTGACAGTTAGAAAGGCTTGGGTTTGATACTTGTGTTAATACAATACCAGGTTTTTTGGAGCAATACCAAAACAATATTTGAGCTTGAGGAATATAATTTTTTTCATCTATTGTCTAAACTGGTCAGAGTTTTTATATAACATATTATTATATATTAAACAAGGGACTATTTGATCACACACTCACTGTGCTTAAAACTCATTTAGGTTGATATCAAAAAGCAGTGAGTTCTGACACCCAGACCCACTGATGGGTCGTTGCTCTGAGTGAGAAGAGCTGTGATATTGGGAAGAAAACTAATTCATATCTTGGAAAAATAAAGTTTGTTTGAATCAACAATGACATATATGATGAACTGCTTACTCACACACTGAAATGTGGCCTCAGTTTCCTAACACACACACACATATACAGTACATGTGGAATTACAAAATTTCTGACTGTGGCGCCCCTAGTGGTACCAAGGAGACACTGTGTTAGATACTTCAGCCTGCTGACAGGTCAGATTCATTGGTGGGTTGTAGTGCACTGAGTTCACAATGGATGTACTTTAAAGCAAAAACAAAAACCTGTCAGTTTTCACCAGAATTTATATAATTTATTTTCTTTCCATAATAATAATCATAATAATAGATAAATAATAATAAAAAGATGCCATGATAATACACAGTATACATTCCGGCCTGCATTCAGATCTGTTTTTTTCCCCTCAGTGATTTGGTCTGGGTCTGGTTTTGTACTTATTGATTTTTTTCTTCCTGGTTGAAAAAACAACAAACAATTCATAGCCGGGTGAGAGGGATTAAGAATGGGGATGTCGTCAACATGTGGATGAGATGGACACAGCGGAACAGGTTATTGAAAAACAACTCTCAGAAAAAAAAAAAAAAAAACGGACGTACAGCATATCTTCGACCGACATGACAAACATTAAGTTAAGTGCTCCTAGCAACCACTAACTGCAGTTTCCGTGTCAACTGAAGATGGTGTAAACAGGATGTATAACTCACTTACCACTGGCTGGTTAGAGAAACCTGCCCCATCGAGCTCTAAATATTTTAGCTGTGTTTTTGGGAGCATTCTGTATTTCAGGTGAGGTGGCTGATCTAAGCTAAAACACACAATAGGAAACCCTGCTTCGTATGCCAACATATCCAAATCATCATTAACATTAATGCCTACTTACTGTTAGAAATGGAACCACAGTAAAATGTTAAATAACGATAAGAAAAGGGTCAAAAGACACACGGGCTGGATTATCATGAACAACAGGTTTCCCCCTTTGTTCTATGCTCACCTTTGTTTGTTTGAGAGGGAACCGCCGGCTCTTGGGGCTTGTTGAGGTTGACAGACTCAGGGGGGAGAATGTGTGTGTACTCCTTCCCATCATCTGCCAGGGCCTGAGCTGAAGCCTGAGGCTGAGCCACCACCTCCAGGTCTGAGCAGAACAAGAGTCAACAGTCAGAAAATGCTCCACTGTTCACCATCAAACAAAAAAAAAAAAAGAAAGACGCTATAATTCAACCTCATCTGAATATTTGTCAGACACTATGACATGTAAAAAGAAAAAACCTGTCCAGCAGAGGAATGAACACTACGCTAAGTGAGTTAGTGGGAAGTGGGTTTAGTGTTTGAGACGAAAGGCTTGGTGAAGGTATTTATAACTGAGCTGTTTGGGGGAAATGAGCTGCAGGTAAGTTTGAACTACGATGAAGTTGTGATGAAGGAGAAGTTTACTCGGTGTGAAGCCTGTATCAGAGCTGACAGAAGCAACAGTGCAGGAAAAGTTGTTATCTATCTTGAGGGTGTTGTAATCTTGAGGGTGTTATAATCTTGAGGGTGTTATAATTAGGTTTGGCCCCTTGCCCCTTGAGTTTTTGTACAATTTATAGTAATAAAAAAAGCTTGTTCAAGTTACACAAAAAGGATTCTTAATGAATCTGAATGTTATGAACCGTATAACTACAAAAATAGGGTGTGCTCCAGTAAGTTTCCTCCTTGTGTCATCAGGTCTTAACTGTGCTAAACTTTCAGATCATATTTCAGTTCATATTCAGCTTGTAGCTAAAATACACACTCAACATTTACTTGTGAATATTTTTACATACATTTTTTGCCAATAAAAGCTGGTGTCAGGTCCCACTAGATTTTAGCTTATAAGAGGATTTAACATTAGAAAAAATAAACAGTTTGAAATGTTTCTTTCACTAATACATGATCTTCTGATTAGAAAGAAAAAAAAAAATATCACTTCCTCTTCTAACTTCTTCAAATTGGAAGGATATGTTCAGTGTCAACACGCACCTGTAAACTGCAGTGAAAGAACCCCTTAAGTGTTTTCAGATAAATTCATGTTAACAACAGAGACAGTTTCCTCCTGACAGATGACATGTGTGCCACAGGTGAGCAGCTGGATGACTCTGTACAGGTGTGGAGTGCGGGTGTTCGACGGCGCGGTGGTCACCTTTGGCCTTTATCCTCCTCTTTCGTTTCCTGGACGGCCTGAGCCACGCGCTGTCTCCTTTTGTTTTCTTTTTCAACTTCTTCTTCTGACTCGACTCTGTGCTCTGAAGCAGACAGATGAGTTCATTCGCAGAGATCATTCCAATAACAGACAGAAAGCAATTTGATAACAATAAGAGATTCATTTAACCGCTCTCACTGCTCGTCGTCGTCTGTCAAAAGAGGTGGAACGAGATGAGCTCTAATACTCGGGTGTAGTTCTGTGGAGTAACGATGGCGAGTGAATCTTACCATGTCGGACTCTGTGCCCTCCTCCTCTCCCTCTTCTTCTCCAGACTCTTCAGACTCCTGATCATCTCCCACCTCCACCGCAGAAACAAAAAAAAAAAAATCACACTCAACACTAACGCTGACAGCTCATCAAGTGCTGCATTGTACACAGAGTAGAAATCACTACGTGTGAAGTGGGAGCAATATGGAAGGAGGCAGAAAATGTTTTAATGTTCCAACCTGAGAGATGGTTTCAGATGTTGCTGCCTGAACAGCAAGGACAGGTCCTTCTGCTGGCTGCTGACCTTCCTCTTCCTCAGACTCCACCTCCTCCGACTCTTCCTCCTCAGAGGCATTTTCCACCTTCTCCCCATTTATGTTTGCTACCTCTTTAGTCTGTCAGATAAGAAATGATCACAGCAATCTCTCATTATACTGTGATCTATACTTTTTTGATGCTAAACAAAATGCGTCTAGAGAACAGAGCTTCATGTCACATGTAAAGTACAAAAAGCCTCCGCTGAGTGTCTGGGTTACCTTGACGAGAGTCAGTTTTCTTTAGGAAAATTTCTTGTTCGTTTGTTTTTTTTTTTGGATATTTAAGAGAGTGTGCAGCTGATTTAGCATTGCCTTCCCATCAAACCATTGGACAGTCCCCCCCCCCCCCCCATTCATTCATCAGCCATCCCGCTTAACCTTTTGGGGTCGTGGGGGGGGCGCTGGAGCCAATCCCAGCAGACATTGGGAGAGGGAACACCCAGGACAGGTTGCCAGTCTATCACAGGGCTGACAAATAGAGACAAACAACCATTCACGCTCACATTCACACCTACAGGCAGTTTAACTTCATGTGCATGTCTTCGGACTGCGTGAGGAAGCCGGAGCATCAGGAGAGAACCCACGCAGGCACAGGGAGAACAGGCAAACTCCACATGGTTTGAACCCAGAACCTTCATGCCGTGAGGCGTCACTGCTAACCACTGCGCCGCTGCGCCACCATTTTTTTTTTTTTAAAGAACCAAAACTGATGCAGCACCAGAAACATCATCTTTTTTTATTTCTTGCATTATTCTTCTTTGCAACTTTACCACCGAGAGATTCAAGTGTGTTATGCTAGTAGCAGCTAACTCCTTTCTAATTAACTACTCCAAGATTTTTATTTTTATTTTTAATGACTTGAGCTCCCTCTGTAGCCATAAAAGACTTTATACTTTTACATATTCTGTGGTACGGCCCAGCAGCTGTAAACAGACTTCGATGTGTAAACTCAGCGGGGTTCTGCTTTAGGAGATTCAGTATTGAATGTAGAGAGGTGGTGGACTAATCAATATGTAAAGGTTTGACATCAAACTTGATTTTGGATTTGTTGTTTATTCCAAAATGAGATGTCACCATGTGGCTAAATGAAGCTTTGTGTTTTGTTTTGTGTTTTTTGATAAATGGAGCAGTGACCTGTGGGCTCTTGGCAGACTGCTGTAGTTCCTTAAACATTTCAAGCACAGTTCTCTGCTTAAGCACTTTGGTTTTCTTCTTGGGAACCAGGCTGTATGTTCCCATCCTCCTCTTCTTCTTACGGGATGACAACCCTCCTGAGTAAGAGCCTACAGTAGGAGACGAAAACACACATTTACACCGCGAAACTCCAAGAACAATTCAAGAACAGGTTTCGGTTTTTCTACAGTGGGTCAGTTTTTATCACGTGTCATTCAAATCTGTCTGACCTAGTTGGAGCTTGGTTAGGGCTGGAGCTGGAGGAGCTGGAGTTGGCGGAGGTGCTGGTGAAGCGGATGACGCAGTTTGTGCTGAAGCTGGCGTGTCTGGTGGACTCTGAGGTAGATGGTTCTGGGAGGACGACTGTTGCAAGGATTTCTGCGTGTCGGGTGCAACGTGAGTCTCCATTTTCTCCATTTTGGCACTTTTTGCTTCTCTTAATTCCCTGTTAAGAAGCTGCAGACGACAAGAACCAAAAGCTTTGAGGATGACTGTGTAAGTGTGAAGTGAAAACCTGCTTTGATTTTGCTGTCAGTCTACTTGTTTTGGTAACGCTCACCGTTCGCTTTTCTTCCACAATCTTTTTTTTAACAAAACATCCAAGTTGTTTTTAAAGAACAGATATGTTTAACCTATTTTCACACAGATTTTATGTTCACATGATTGGACGTCCTGCTGCAAAAAGACACTATGCTTGACGGTAAACAGAGTCCTCTCGCAGCGCACAAACTTTTCCATTTATAGAAAGTAGGGCTATTATTGTTTTACAAAATGCTGTTGTCCAAATTAATTCTGTGAAAATAGCCATAAAAAATTCAAAGAGTTTTGGGGTTGATGGAATACAGGTCATTATGCTGAACAACATATGATTGTTTTACATGTGATTTTGCATAATTTGCTTTATCTGTATGGCCAAAAGTATATGGACGTAGTGTTCTCTTGGTCTGGAAGTTTGTTTTTTTTTTCCATTGTTTGGGTTCCTTAGCTCCAATGACAGAAAATCTTAGCACTACAGGACACAATAATACTTCAGACAATAGTGCGATTCCAACTGTGTGCCAACACTTTGTTGTAGGCCCCTTCCTGTTTCAACATGACAGTGCTCCTGTGCACAAAGCCAAATCCATTAAGAAATAGTTTTCCCAGTTTGGTGTGGAAGAACTTGACTGGCCTGCACAGAGACCAGACCTCAACCCTATCCAACACCTTTAGGATGACCTGGAGAACAGACTGCAAGTCAGTGCTGGACCTCGCTAATGCCGTTATGGGTGAATGGGATCAAACCGCTGCAGCCAGGTCCCAAAATCTTGTAAGAAGAGTGGAGACTGTTACATAAGCACCCACCACATGCGGGTGCAATGTCTGTGTGTCTTAATACTTTGTCCATATACTTTTGTCATTTAATGTATAAAGATATAGAACAATATTCTTATTTATTTTGTGATGATGATTTCCATGATATCACTAGAAGTAATGAGAGAGGGGCAGAAAACATTAACGAGCTACTGAGCTACTAATGAGTTTACCTTTTGTGCCGGGCTGACAGCAGGTCTGGACATGGTCTTGCGCGCTCTGTGTATCGTGACGGGTGCTGGAGCCGGTGCAGGAGACGGGGCTGTGCCATTTTTAGTGTCTGATATACCCTGTCCCAACGTAGTCCCTGTACTGGGGTCAGTCCTTAATGCACCAGAAGTCTGTGCACACCCTGATGCCGAGGCAGGGAGGGGTTTGACCATATGTCCCCCTGTTGATGTGCCCGAAGGCAACCAGTTAGTCCTGGGAGGGGAAACCCCCAAACCTGGCATCACTGCAGAGCTGCCTTCCTGCTGCTGCTGCTGCTTCGTGAGGATGAATCCATTGCTTCCAGTAACAGAACCGTGCGGTGGCTCCATGTCAGGCAAACCATTTTCATTCGCCAACAGTAAAGTCTTGTTGCTGCCTGTTGCGGAGCCGTGTGTCGGGCTCTTGTGCCTCGTGTCGTCACATTCGGTGCCATTGAGCATCGCCTCTGCTGCAGGAGAGGAGGCCAGCCTGGCTGCTACGTCTTTGTCTCCATCTGTGGACCAAAACCAAAGACATCATTCAAATTACAATGTCAGTCACATAAATAACAAAGTAATTTCAGATTTACTCTGACTAATACCTGACGTCTCTCCGTTGCTTGCTGGATTGAGGCCCTCTTTCTTTGCAGATGCACCCTTATCCGCACTGCCCTTGGCTAGACCAGCCGGCTGATGAAAAAAAGACCACATATGTCAGGGGAAATCAGATTTAGAGCTGTTATTAACATTAATTAATTTGTGGATAACTTTTTCAGTTAACTTTCAGTCAACTGTCTAAATATAGTTATACAGAAATGCTCATCTTAAGTTCTCTAAGCTCAGGGTATCCTCTTTAAAGAGCTCCATTTACAATACCAGTGGTGAAACAATTACTCAATTAATTGATTAGCTGACAATTTTCATGGGCAGTTAGTGCTGAAAGTTATTTATAAAGCAAAAATACTCATGTTTTACTTCCTCAAATGTGAGGATCTTTCTCAGTTTTATTTCATTAAAGTTGAATAAAACAGACAAAAAGAGCAAGTCTTCACATTTGAGAAGCTGTAACCACAGAATGTTTGGTTGGAAAAGAACGAATCTGTTAGCAAACTTGATGTTAATTCATTTCCTGGCAATTGATGAACCAAATCTAATCTCACTTTTATCCATATAAAGGCAAAAACCCTCTTTGTTTGTGCTTTTCAGTAACATTTCTTTGTCACAAAGATTAGAGAGTAAGCCAAGAGAATGGAGACGACCCCCATGAACTTTCATTGCCTGTCCTCTCTCTTTCTAAGTTACAGCCAACCAGAGGAGCAGTAGATGCCGGCCACAGCTACAAAAGGAAATCACAACCACCCACGGATCGTCTTTACACAGGAGGGAGCAGTTGAGGAGGCAACACCAGGAAATGTAAAACTGCAGACCATCCACCTCACCCTCACTCTGGGAGAATGAGCCCAAAGGAAACAAAAAGAGGTCTGGGAGAAAAACATCATGAATTCACTTTTGCTTTTTTTTTTTTTTTGGGTCCAACGTTGCTTGTGAAAACCACCCCTTTGTTCCAAAGCCTTTTCAACTGTGTGGACCTCTGTCCTCTGCAGTGGACAGAGGTCAGTTCACCCCTGAAGAGAAGCACAACTAGCACTGAGGAGAGAGATTTACTCTCTCCCCAACCTCATGTGGGGCTCATATGCAGCAGAATGAGGGTGGAAACACAGACACGTGTGCTGACTGGGGCAGCGGTTCTCACTTACTGAGGTAAGAGGCAGGTACTGAGTATAACTGTCCCAAGAAAGCAGAGGAAACACTATTCCTACAAACTGGCCCAATCAAAAGGCCTGTGAGAGACAGAGACCACTGAAAGCTTCACTTTAACAAACTGAATCAGCCAGTTAAACTCTCTTCTCCAAAGGCTGACAATCAAATCCTCAGATTTAACACAGAGCATGTGTCCTGAAGCCTGCACACAACCGAGACCCCAACTAAACGAGCCATTCTCCAAACACGTGCTCCTGAGTCCCTGAGCCGAACGTGAACGTGCACCTTGTCAAACAGCAACAAGGTCAGAACCAAGAGCGGGTCTGTGAGCACACTAACTGAGGGAACATCTGGTCTGGGACAGTCCTCTGGTGTGTATGATCTCAAGGAAGTGAAGCTAGAGGGCACGTGTGAGGGTGAGGAGAAGAAGAATCCTTCAGTTCCTTGTTTTCATGGATTGAGGAAAGCCAGTTACAAAAAAACACCAGCCTCTTCCCTCCCCCTAGTGGCGGGAAGTGGAACATACACAGTGGAGACAGAAAGGAGAGGGGGGGAAGGGAGGCAGAGAAGGCTGTCTGCAGATCTCCGCCATTTCGCAACCAGATTGTTTACTGACACAACGCGGCCATTGCAGCAGTTTTCCACTAGATGGGGAACGTAGGGGTTTGGAGGCTGGTGGATGGGGATATGGATGCTGCTGAGAGAAGCTCCAAATATGAAGCCAAGGCTTTGAGTACTGATCAGGAGCATTAAGTAGCACATTAAAAAAAACTAAGATGTTAGAATAGACCAAAGCTTCAGCCATGACTGCAAAATTAAAGCTCCAGTGGTTCACAGTGTAAACTCCAGATGGGACCTTTTTTTAAACTGTGGACAAGCTTTTTAATTATTAGAAATAAATACTTTTATAGCATACATTGTAGCTGATGTTCCCAATGCTTTAAAATATTCTAATGGTTCAATCATTCACTGTCACTAATGTGAACCTGGTATGGCCTGGACAATTGTAGTGATGTGACCTATCTTTAGATCTATTACAAGAGGCCTGAAAACAAGTCAGAGCTACCTAAACACAAAGCACAAAGACATTACACAAACAGCTGTTACACTGCTGGTGTCAACACCCCAATGAGATGAGACCGTGAAGTACATAAATGCATTTCACGCAGCCTGAGTAAACAAAGGAAATGTTGCATTCCTGACCTTCTTAAACAGTGGTTTTCACATTTTTCAAAAATGAAGCTTGTGAACCTTCATCTACGGGCTGTTTGACCAAAATTGTGATATTCGCCTTTTCAGATTGTTTTGTTTGAATCTTTTCAAGAGGCCTGAAGAAGTGAAACTATCCAGTATCTCACAAGAAGAAAAAAAAAAAGCAAAGATTGAAGAAAAGCCAGAAAGTGCAAATCATCTTACAAAGCCTTAGTTATCTTGCAACCCCCTCCACTGTCACGACCTAAAGTTTCACAAATGTGGGGCTTCCTGGTGGCCTAACAACGTGACATGCTGATCGTGCAATCACAATCACCAAAATGCCGTCCTTCCTCTTCTCCCTAATTTCATGTCACTTATCTACTGTCCGCTCTCCAAATTAAGGGGCAAAATGCCCAATACTCAAAAAAAAAGATAGAAACATTTATAAATAATCTTCAGGAAGATGCAAATGAAACCTGTCCAGTCACTAATTGTGCAAACTGACAGACAGAAACATGCAGCGGTATGACCCTTTGCCAGAGAGCTGCTCAGAAGACCTGCGGCTGGTAAACATGGAAGCTCATACTGCAGCCTCACATGCATCCTTTAGATTAATAAGCAGTCACTGCAGCCTTGTGCTCCAGTATATTTCTGATCACAGTCTAGTCTGCACATACATCCAGTCCCCGGGAACATCATTATATACGAACCATGAGGGGCACAGAGAGAGCAAAGAGGAGGAAAAGGTAGTCTAAAAGTCTACTGTTGTAGTTTCCAGATCTTCAGGGGGTCAGACTTCCATCCTGCCATATCGAGAATGACATCATATTTCCTGTGCTGTGATTAGTCTAAATACAGCAGCCGTCCTAATCCATGACACCACACTCAAATCTCCCTCAGATACAGAAGCACTGCTACTAAACAAATCACTGCTCCTCGAGCTTAAGTCTTCGATTTCAGGAGTCAGGAGCAATCAGCTACTGATAAAGCAGCAGCAGCAGCAGCAGCTGTCTTGAGAAGCGCAACTTACAAACTATGAAACCATCTCCATGAGAAGACAGCAAGAGCTCAAACCAACTAATTGTAACTTTTATACAAAAAGACTAAAAGGAACTGAGAAGCAAGACTATGCATCTCCTCAGAACATTCAAGCCCAACCAAGGCTGAAGAGTATAAAGCTAACATGCCTCTTCCCTTGTGTGCCTCCAGGAAGCATCATACCTGCTTTCTTCTCATGGCCTCCATTGAGAAGAAGAAGGCGTCAGAGAGGGTGTGTGTGTTTGAGAGAGAGAGAGAGAGAGAGGGAGAGAGGGAAGGGGGAGGACAGAGAGAGGGAGAGAGAGCGAGAATGTGTCGAACAGATTGTTCCTCTTTTCCTTTTCTTTCCCCGCATGCACATTCACCTCGCCGGTCATGTGACCTGATGGCTCCCTCTGTCGGCCCTCTTCTTCAGAGGGTCTCCACAGAGCATGCTCAGTCAGTCATTTCTCTAAGCTGGAGGACCTCGTTGCCACTGAAGACATCCACTGGAACAGACTCCCTGTGCAAATGCTTTAAGACTGGAGACACACAATCCTGCACAACCTTTACCTACTAATGTTTTTTATCTCACACCTCATGTTAACACTTATGTCAACTGTAGTAAAATTAATCGGAGTCATTCAGTCATTTCTTGTGTTTCTCCAGATTGTATTTCTATTGGTGCTACTTCTATCTGCCATTTTGTTGTTGTCTCTTTTTTATACTCTGTTTCTTTTAAATGCAAAATGAAAACATGAAAATAAAAGCCTCATAGCTGGTGTGCGTGCACAGCCACTTAGGGAGCACCTAGGGAGGAAAAAACAGTGAAGTAGAGGGATAAAAGCCCCAGAAAGAAATCAGATGTCGGTGAGGAGCCTGACGGCCAAAACGTTTTCCACCGCGGACATCAGGCCACATCCAAACCTCTCAACAGGAGAGTCTTTTGTCTCCACTGAGCCTCGGGCCAATGAAGGCAGTAAAACACAACGCTGCCAGGCCATGCAACACATATTAAGTCACAGAAATGAAGTAACAGGCCGAGCTGCCACTGGGGGGAAGAGCCTGAAACAAAGCTCCAATGGGAACCACAAAGGGAACGAGAACAGATAACCTGAAGCATGTGGCTGTGCTCACCACAAACAGAGTGCATATAAACACACAACAACAACTTTGCATAATGAATCTGTATTGTTGTCAGGTCTTTGTACTTCATGTAGTCTGTTCTGTTCTCATTTGGCATTAAGTTTATTTCCACATGATTCTTAACCAGGGCCATAACTTCTGATTATTTTCATTATATTAATCTATTGATTTTTTTTTTTTTTTTTTTTTTTTTTAAATAGTAGAGATCATATGTTCCCAGAAATCCTTGTGATGTCTTAACTGGTTTCCCCATTCTGTCCAACAATCCAATAATATAAATGAGCAAACAGCAGCAAATCCTCCAGCAAATATCTGGCATTTTGCTTCATTAATGATTTAAATCATTTATTTATGATTACAATAGTAGAGGTTTGTCACTTCCCAGAGTGAAATGACTTCTCCCGTCAGGGGACATCTCCGACACACAGGAACGCAGATGTAGAGATGTTGGTTGCCTCTCTTGTTTCACTACTAAATGACAAACAACCTTGTCCTGACATACGAGCTCAGGTTGATCAACTTTCAGGAGCCAATGCACAAAAAAAGAAAGTTCTTCCCTCCAACAACGCCAG